ATCGTCATGCGAGTTGTATAACAATAGGCTCTCTATTGCATGGTCTCACAACAAGGTTAATTTTGATAGACAAGCGGAGCTCTATTGATAATCATACAACTCTAGAGTACATCAATTGACATCAATACACCCATTGGAAAGCTAAGAGACAGGATACACCATAAAGATTAAAACAAATAAATCCTTAATCACTTAGATTAGTCCACTTTGCTCTCAATAAAACTACTACATTTTCATTTTATCACCTAAAAACATAAATCTATGATAAAAGTACCGTTGGCACCGCTACGTGGTGCCATCTATGGAAAGTTATGTGTAATCTCAGTTGTAATTTATCGGCGCCAACCATGAATGCCGAGGCGCCTGCGCCGCGTTTTTGCACGCGATGCTGTCTATTTTTAGTTTAAACATTTCACTAGATAGATATAATTAGAAAAAGGCTGTCTCACGCGTTATTTTTGTTTGGATACTCAAGATTCTAAGTAATGTTAATGCTAATGACTTACTAGCTTATGCGAAGCTACTTTTTCCCTAGATATATGTAGGTAGGTAATTAGGTACCTATAGTGGTAGTTCGTAAGTAAGCATATTAAATTTAAAATAACTCATTATTGAACAATGTTACTCTAATTGTTATTTCATATTTAGACTTGTTTTCTTTAATTTTAATTTTAAATATTTGTACGCAGGCAGGCATGTGGAAACAGCAGAATATTCGGATCATTTCGATTATTTGTAACACCTTTTGTACCAATATTCTAACAAATAAACGTGTTATTATTATATTATTATTATTACTTACGTAGGGGCCGGATTCATTTAAGATATACATAGGTATGTTCCTTTTATAAGTTCTATGGAAGTTGTAAGTAATTTTACATAAGTAGGTAGGTATACAATACCTAAGTGCACCTTTTTTGAGGAGGGAGTAATCATCCAATGAAATTTCCTGCCCTGGGTGGCGAGGGAGTGTCAGATTCTTACTGACTAAAAATCTCCCCGTTCCTTCTCCTGCTCTAGGCCGAGGCCACGGTACCTTATTGCGTTTGCATGCGTCGCACTGGCTGATTATAAAATACACCGAGATTTGAAATATCTATACTAATATTATAAAGAGGTAAAATTTGTAAGTTTGTATTTTGTATGTAGGGGGTAATCTTTGGAACCGCTGGTCGGATTGCCAAAATTATTTCACTGATAGATAGCTACAATATTCCTGAGTGCTATATGCTATAAAACATCACGCTACGATTAAATGGAACCGAGCAGTGAGTGAAGCCGCGCGAGAGTAGGTAGTAACCTATAAAAGTAGGTATTGTTCAGTATTTTAAGAAGCATGTGTGGTGGCAGAGTCGGACAAGGTTCAAACTAAAACTTTATTTACTAAACCTATGTTGTATGTTTTGTTTTTCTAGAAAAAGCGCGCAAAACTTAAACCTGTAATCGCCACATAACATTAGCAACTAATAATATACCTAACTTCAGTAAAGTACTTATTAATTATTTAACCCAGAATCTTGTCAAAACAATTGACAATCCGTGACCCCGATCTTTATTTAATATTGCCCCATACCCCCATACAAAGATTTTTCTTCTTCTTTTAGTCAGTAAGAGTCTGAGATCCCCATTCGTCTCATCCAGAGCGCGGGAAATTAATTTTAGAAATGAAATATTTTCTCCAGTGTCGTGGGAGCGTTTACAAACAAATATTTCGCATCACACCCAGACCTGGAGAATGGAGAATGGCATGAAACCGCGACGAAAATGCGACATGCCTTGGAGCAGCTTGTTGCTTAGCCACTGGGCCGACATTACACTGTGACCTTTTTTTGGCAGGGGAAAATCATCAAATGACTTCTCCAGCCCAGGGTGAGACGAGTGGGAGTGTCAGACTCTTACCGACTAAAAACGCCCCCGTTCCTTCTCCTGCACATGTCCCTACAATCCGCCTGACTGTGACATGACCTTTGCATTATCTGTTACCTACCTAGATAATTAGGTACCTATCGGAAACGTTTTTAAAACAATACGTGAAGAAAAGCATATTACGAAATCTATTACATTATAGACATAAATTCCGATATCAGTTTGCATGGTCAAGATTTGAGAATCGTCAAAAAACTATTTTTATTAAAATCACGTATGCTAGAGAAAGAGAAATGCTGCGTCGATCAAAAATAATTTATTTCTAATAGATAAAAATCTATCGTAGGTAAGTTTATCAAAAAATAACTGTATCTATCTACTATCATTACCTAATTGATTTGATTAGTTCTACTTTTAATTTTGAAGCTAATTTAAAAGAAATAGATAAGTAGGTATGTTACTTGTAACTAGTATTGACGTCACAACTAGCGATCTCATCAATTTTATAAATGCATTGTTTTCGTTTATAATGTGCCCAATGAAATGAGATAATTTATGTTCTTAATTTTAACGATAAAAAATTAAGATAAATTTATTGGTTTTTTTACTCGATTCTGTTATACTCTGACCCTAATATTTGTAACAAAACTATCCTAAGTACTAAGAGTATTAAGGTATTAGAAGGCAAAACCCTAAATAGATATAAAAAAGTTATCTTTCGAAGATTTCACAAGATTTATTATCCTCCTTTATTAAATTGAAATATAAAAATATTTTCTTCAACTTTTATTGGTTCTTTGTTATTTTTTTTCTTTTTGAAAATGCTCAGGACTGTTCTGACATTGCGTCAAACTTAGGAGAATTTAAGTTGCGACCTATATGGTGTAAGAAGATTTAACAAAATTTTACCAGCTATTCCCGAGTGAACAACACTCGTTTTACAACTTTATTTATAAATAGAAACAAAAACGACATTCAATTAATCAATTAAAAAAAAATATAGTACTAGAGATACTTAACCAAAATGAAAATACTCTAAATACTTACTATTCCTAGATCTCCTAGCTGCCACAATGTTGGGGAAATGGTTAAAATGACTAGACCATTAGAGTAATCCAAGAATACTGGTAAACTTAGCAGGCTCCGTAGGGCTTTGCTAATTGTTTACAATATCGTCGTATCCGTCCGTATGCACAATAGGTAAGTAGGTATTATTTAAATAATGAATGGATTGTATTCGTATTTAGAACAATATTTACGCATACATCCCATTAATCTGCGCGTGCGTCTAACTGCGTGATGTTATTAAACCAAACCAAACCAAATTAGGAATTTTACTATAAAACAACGTAAGATCAACAGCAACTGCTCGCCTGTATTGTAGGTCTTCTCTAAGGGGTGAAATTGAATAGATGCGACAAATTTCAACATACAATAATACGTGTTGTCAAGAAAATCTAGAACATATCAAATGTAAAATTAATAAACTTTTATTAGTGTCACGGTGAGGTGAATGAGCGCTATGAACGGCAGCGCTTAAATAACATGCTGCACTGCGTTATGTGTCGGACGAGATTTCTTGATACTTATTTTAATTTTTCTTATTTATTTTGCATACTTATTCATTATTATTCTGGAATAATATCTGATAATTCGTACTCAAACAAAAATAAGAACGTCAATGGACCATTTTAAAACGATAATCACGTCATTTTATTTATGGTCTTAGATTGTAGAAAAAACAAAATTATAATTAGGTACTATGTTACTGTAACTGAAGCTCCCATTTCATTTTGTCACATTTATTCGATTTCAGCCTGTATAAGTAGGTATAAAAAGAAGGTTTGCCGAAATTAAACAGTTTCCTTAGTCAAAAAAATCACGTTAACTTTTCAATACTATGAATAATTTTATTATACTTAACACTAGCTTACACCAGCGGCTTCGTACACCTATAAACGTATTATTGTATCCGGGCATTTTTTAAACACTGTTGTCCCGTTCCCGTAGGAATATTGCAATATCCTGTGCAACTAAGCTTTAAGGTACCTGCTTGCCAAAATTTGAAGCGTCTAACTTTAGCGGTTTAGATTTTTCATACAAAGAGATGTTCCCGCTAATTCTCGTTCCCGAGGGAATTCCTTTCTTAGTGCATCTCTACGATACCTAACCTACGGCCCTGCCAAATTTCAAGCGCCTACATTTTGCCGTTTAGGCTGTGCATTGATATGTCAGACAGTCAGTTTCCTTTTATATATATAAGTACATATTGGCTATTCTCGCGCTGCTTGACCAGCTGTTCCATTAAATCGTAGCGTGATTTTTTATAGACTATATATAGCACTCAGGAACATTGTAGCTATCTATCAGTGGATTATTTTGACGGAGAGTTTTGGCAATCCGACCAGTGGTTCCAAAGATTTCCCCATACATGCAAACTTACAAATTTTACCTATTTATAATATTAGTATAGAAGTATAGATTTGGATCCCTAATCATACGTTCATTCTTGTTTTACAGTAATTATACGAGAATAAATATACAAAAGTAGTGTGCCGTGGTCCGTGTGGGAATATAATACTGCGGCGTTTTGCAATTTGTTAGTTCATATTTCTATTACCTACACTAAGATTAAAGTAAAATTCATGTTAACTGATTCAATTTTTATTAGTTTTAATATTTTAAGTAAGTACACTTAGTTTTAATATTTTGCTAGAAACGCGCCCCGGCTTCGCACGGGCGCAATGCCTACTATACCTAATCAATTTCTCCACTATTTTAATGGATGTTATTAAACATATAAATACTACTCGTCAATCACACTAGCACTAACTAGTAACAATTTCGCGTTGCCGACCTTTTATAAAAGAGGACGGATAGGTATATAAGGACAGAAAGCGACTTCGTAATACTATGTTGTGATTAGCTAATAAGTATCAAATGTATTAAGCGCAGAATCCGATCTTTTTTTTAATAAAGACGTATCGAGTTGGTCTCACCGGCCAAAATGCCCTATTAGGTACCTATTTAACTTAATTCAAGGTTACTTCATGCCCTATCTATCCTCCCCGTTCGACGGAATCGAGCTTAATGTAAAATAGCTTTACAAGTATGCCTAGCTAGTTAAGATTACAGTTTTAAACAAATAACATCGTTCGCCGAGCCAAGCGAGTCTCGGGCGCCATCCGCCATTCGGCATCTGTGACGCGCAGTGAAAGGTTGCGCGCGCTTTTAAATTTTTTATCTGTGCATTTTCGTAAGACATAGTGTAAAGTTGATTTTTTTTTATAAAAATGTTGAAGTACACCATGAAGAAATATTGTGCGGAGGGGAGCAAATTCAATCAAATAATCATTGCTTGTTTGAGTAAGTTTTAGTTTAATTTTTTTTTTCTTGAAGAAATTAAATTATCTATTTAATTCTATGATATTTTAATTTATAATGATTATCTTAAATTGTTATTATGGACGAAAAAGTTGAAAGTCCTTTAATTTTTAATGAACAAGACAAATTCTAAAAACGTCTTCTTTTAGCTTTTTTTTTTTAATTTTATTTAAGTTATTTTTACTGCGATAAATGAACACCTGAAAAACACATAACTTTCAAGAACTATAGTTTGTATCATATAACGAACTTAGCTTTAGCTAGTTTTAGTTTAACTTAGTTAGTTTCAAAATAAAAAAATAAAAATTTTATATACGTTATTTTAATCAAAAACTTACTTCTAATTAGGTACTGGTCGATTTGATGAATGAAAACATAGAAATGTTTAACTTTTGAGATTATTCCTCTTATCCTTCGAATACGTCAACCAAAGAACTTTTTTGAGCGTAAAAATTATCACATTTAAATTAATAATCACCCTAGCCCTTGGAGTGTCAACCTTTTACTGTCTAAAACCAAATAATAATAACATGTAATAGTAATAAAGAAAGAATTCTTTTTATTATTTTATTATATGTGTTAACTTTCATTCACGGGACCACAGGGTCCCGGACCTTTGGAAGACGTACGAGGGGCCGAAGCCAACTCGCAGAGGCCGTATTACCAAGCTTAACAGTCATTTATATTACAAACTAGCTTCTCTCGCGCGGTTTCACCCGCTGCTCAGCTCCATTTGATCGTAGCGTGTTGTTTTATAGCCTATAGCACTCAGGAACATTTTAGCTATCTATCAGTGAAAGAATTTTGGCAATCCGAATAGCGGTTCCAAAGATTACCCCCCTACCCCTACATACAAACTTACAAACATACAAACTTACGAACTTACAAAATTTACCTCTTTATAATATTATCAGTATCAGTATATTAGTATAGATTAACATTTGACCATAGTGATAGACCGATTACATTTACCGTTATCAAAGCAACTACCATTTCCGAACAAGAGCTTCCAATTGAAGTCAAAGGAATATAGAGGTATAAAAATTGTTAAAATAGTCACGCAGTTAAGGTAGTTTCTCTGGTGTAAGGTAGGCTCTACTTGATTACATGGGACACATAAAATTACTTGGGAAAAGTAAGTGTGATACTTTAGAAATTTACCACTGTCTCTGTCCATCCTTACGGCAAAGAAAAGGCGAGATGATGAGATGATAAAATATACCTAATAACGAGAATATTTGTTCGAGTCTGTTACTTTTATAAAAAATCCCTTAGTGGCTCGGAGTCTCTGGAATGCGCTATCTACGTAGGTACCTAGGTCCCGAATTAAAAATCGATGTTCGAAATTTGAAACCTTTATCGAAATGTCAATACAGGAGCTTTTGTATGAAGTAGTAACATATGACGTCATCATATTTTTTAGTGAAATATTAGTATTTCTAAACGATCCGCTAGTTCTCAACTAGTCAAAATCAATACCTTTATCAAAAAATTGTCAACTTTATTAAATGTCAAAAACTAAATTTACCTACTTTGAAATTAATTGTATGAAACTCCAAATTATGACGTCATAGGTTTTTGCGTCAAGTACCAACGAGTAGTTCTTAAAAATTTGCTAAAATAACGAAAATTTATATCGAAAGATCGATGAATAAGAGTTTTTTTTCCAAATTTTATTGTATTGAAAAGTCTAATAAATTTATTTTCGACCTAGGAATCTACCACAATTATTCAGAAATTGTTTTAATAAATTGTTAGCCCAGATTTCATCACAATGTTTTCCTATACCGTGTGTCAGTAATTTCTAAATAAACTTAGAACGTACCTATTTATATGGAACTAGTAAAAAGGCCCAATATTACAAAAAAACGTGTTATGTTATATCTAGGTACTTATATTTTTTTCCAATTTCTATAAATGGATATTAATACATATACCTAAAATGACCTGTCTTTGACATCTCAAATGAGAGGTTATGAGATAATCGATATCATTTGTTTAAATAAAAAAAAACTCATACTAATAATTACTTACTTACTTAGGTAATTAGTAGGTAGTTTTTAAGCTTAGTAATGCATATTCATATCTACTTAAAACCAAATATTAGAGTTAATCGGCCCATTGGTGACGAAGTTTGGCTCCCTTTGTGTTCTGTGAACGACCACAGTCTCAACCGTAAAACATGGCCCGGTTTATGGATGGCTAGCAAGGGTAACTCGTCGTCCGACCAGAATCATATCCGAGCGTAAGCTTAAAGAGATCACTACAGTAGGATCGACGCCTAACTGGGTTGTTGGTGCAAGTTCACAAAGTACCACAACCCGTCTCGGAATAGGTTTTAGTCAGTAGTACTTAGTAAAAGGCAGCATTTGGCCCCTATTACTATTACTGATAGTAAACGATTATGCGACCTACAATGGAGTACGCCTACCCATAAGTAACCTATTTTCTCGGGCCTTCGGGGAACACAGAATACGGCAAAGAAGTCCACACCTTAGCAGTTCTTATAATAAAACTGGAAGGGACCGCTTCATGCGTCTGGCAGTCCTTCCACACTAATCAGTGTGTGAAAAAGGTGGGACAAATTTTCTCTAATCAAAAAAAAACATCTGTAATATCTGTAAGAATGGTTTATTTTTTATGAGATGGACGGCAAACGAGCAGACTGACGGATTACCTGATGGTAAGCAATCAGCGCCGCCCATGGACACCCGCAACAACAGTGGAGTACCGAGTCCTTTTTGGGACTAGGGATTAGGAGATTTTAGGATTGGGGTAAGGTAATGATTGGACCTCTGGTATCCTCACTCACACGGCGAAACACAACGCTGTGGTTGTTTCACGTCAGTTTTCATTCAGATTTTAAGCCCCTTTCGCGCCGACCCATTCGTGCCGAAGCATGGCTCTCCCACACTGTTTTTTATTTATGTTTCAAATATTACACCACAACCCACCCCTTAGGAGGATTCAATCCGTGATGTTATACGAACACGAAAATGTTTTCCAAACACAAAACTACGGCCTACAGGGAAAATTTCTTCTATCAATAACTTTTGTTGACCATTTCACAAAAGACATTCACAGGCAGATCAGTGGAAAATTATCACACCAACTTTGTAAAACCTACGCGTTATTGCTTTGGAAAGAATTGGATTGAATCGGCCCACTAAATAAAATCACGCATGACAATTTCTGTTACAATAGCTTATCTGTTTAACCGATAGAAAATTGTCCAAAATAAGGAAGAAAGAATTAATATCAAAATCATTTATATTCCAACTAAACCATAAACAGGTACTTTTGAAACGTCAAAATAGATTACTATTATAGTTTGTCAGTCAATTCGTCAGTGAAGCTAGGTGCTTGTGTGATCCACACGCAACTGTGATAGAGCCATGGTTCAGCAAGAATCCACTCCGGCCGGCTGGATTGGAGCGATAGCAAAACTCATAGTAGGCCGGTGTGAAACAACGCTTGCTATATATTTCGCCTTTGAGTGACCCCAATCGTTATACCCTTAGCCTCCAAAAGGCCGATAGCCAATTCGCGCCTGCAAATACTTTTTGAGTACAGTAGCAAACGAGAGACGGATCACCAACATGGACACCCTCAATGCCAGAAGAGGTGCTCATTTGTTGCCATCCTTTTGGATATTGGAGGTTTGAAGATCGGGGGTTTTTGGAGATTACATATTATTATTATCTTGATGTTTTGTTTTTAAAAATCTGGCAGAGATCCATCTCCAAGGATTAAGCTTTCTTGTCTTCCTACTCTAAAACAACAATTAGTATTGTTACAGGAGTTGAGACATAATTCGTCTACAAAAAAAAATAAGAGAAATACTTATCCGATAATTCCTTTATTTGATTACGGGAATTGAATGAGATATTCCGTCCTAGTGTATCAAAATTTCATTGATCAAAACCACCCTGTGCCTTCTCCTGGTTTAAGGCGAGCGGTACATCTCTGAGCTTGATTTACAACTGAGGCGTTCTATTCGTCATTACAAGTCAATTCCAAATTCTCCTAAAGTTCTAAACTATGCTTTTAGCAACAGAGTAACTTACTAACTTACCTAATATTACACACTAATTACCTAAAAATGTTATCTTTCTATTACGTAAACGTCACACTAGAAAATTTTGAACAATTGTTTCAGTAACACCTACTTTTATCTTTTAGTGCATAGTATTGCTAGCTAGCTACTTGTCCGCAGTTTTGTCAGCAAACCTTAATAAATTATACCTACACCTTATATATGTATATACTTTCTTTTTCAATCATTCTGTCTATTGAAAAGCGGCATTGTCAACACCTGTCACGTAGTTTTAAAGATTTAAACATAAAATGGGTGTTTTGTTTTATACTACGACTAGCTACTCTCGCGCGGTTTCACCCGCTGCTCGGCTCCATTTAGTCGTAGCGTGATGTTTTATAGCCTATAGTACTCAGGAATATTGTAGCTATCCATCAGTGAAATATTTTTGGAAATCTGACCAGCGGTTCCAAAGATTACCCCCTACATACAAACTTACAAATTTTACCTCTTTATAATATTAGTATAGATAAGTATAGATATAGTAAGTTTTGTATTACTATTGGGTACTGTAATAAATCAATAATAAATTATCTTTACTTTTCAATATATTGATTTGTCAAAATATAACCACACCAACTTTCATTCATTAATTATGACGTCAGTCATTTTTTTATTGTTATTTCTCCTGCTCCAGGCTGGGGCAGCGGTACATTAATACACTTGCATCCGATATTTCGGACTATCGTTATCAATCGAGGCTTATTTTTTTTATAAAAAAAAATTAATGACGAATGTATTAACACGATTCTACCTATTATCTTAAATCTTATTAAATTAGAAGTATTAAATCATGTCAAGAATAGCTTTGTCTATTTGTTTTGTATTATTTGAGTTGATCGTGTTCGGAGTTTTGCACGTGTGAGAGTCATGCTTCGGCATGAAT